TGGCAACTTTGCTGACCTCCACCCAAGGGCTGGGCTCTGTCTCAAGTGCTCTGAGAAATGAGTCTCCCTGCCTGGGTCAGAGGGGCAGGTGACCGGGACATAACTCCACGCCTGGACTGACATCCACCTTCTGCCAAGGGCCTGAGAGCTGCCCGGATGCCTGGCTCAGGAGGGGCCTCCACACTCAGCACTGCTGACAGTTCAGCTCTCTAGCGGAGGGCCAGGCAATGACGGGGCACTGCTACCTGTGGTCCCCAGTGGTCCCCGGTGAGGCCACCCACAGCAGGTGCAACCCACCCCACCCAAAACACCTCCCTGTGTGGTATTCTCCCCAGCACCCCAGCACCCACACCCTATGCACCGCAGGGAACTGCCACAGCCACGAGGGCAGAAGCTGTGTCCCAGAACACAGCTCAGGGGCAGGCCACAGGGGCCACTCAGAAGCCAGCGTGGAAGGGCAGATCAGTGCCTTTATGTTCTATAAGTCAACGTGAAACAACAAGTTTTCTGACAAACGATATAAACAAAGAATGCAATACACTTTCAACCAGCATATTCTAATCAAGCCTCGACTGGCTTCTGTCTGATTCAAGACGAGGAGCGCTCTCGTGGGAGCTGGTGAGAAAGGAAAAACAACATACACAGAGGCGTGCATTTTAGAATCAGTCCTGGGTACCTTTACGATCTGGGCGTTTTTCTCCATCTCTGATTGTAACTTCTCCTTCAGCTCGGCTGTAAGAAAAACAAAAAGCAGCTCAGGCCACTCCATCCCAACCTTTTCAGTGACCCAACCGCCCAGGAAACGACCAGGCTCTGGCACCCACTGCACACGTGCCACTGTTCACGGGCTAGCAGGATGCGTCTGTGACGATGCCTGGCTTTAATAATAAACTGAGGACACCGTGGCTTCCAGACACACAGGACTATCTAAGACAGGAGGTGAAGGCCAGCCCTGGGTCCCACCTACCACAGACCACCTGGAAACCCGCTCTAATAACCTCCTGGCCACGAAAACCCAAGACTCCCTTTGTTCACCCCCTCATGGTGCCAGATGCCAGGCAAGGTGATGAGAACAGAGATGGGGAGACAGTGCTAGGGTGCCCCCACTCCCAACCCCAAGAGGGAAGAGGCACTAGAATGCCCACGCCGAGCCCACACGTCACCCATACCCGCCCAGCCGTGCAGTACCTGCTTCCTGTCCACACCTGAGCACCACCTCCTCCTTCTCCCGTGCGTGCTGCTCCCTGAGGAGCTCCAGCTCGTGCTGCTGCCTGCTCTGCAGCAGGGCCAGCTCCTGGGCACGCCGGCTGTTGAGCATCTCCCGCAGCTCCGTCAGAGCCGTCTCCTTCTCCTTCTGGAGGTTGGCCTGGGTCAGCTCCAGCTGCGCCGTGTGCATGTTGCTCAGACTCAGACGCAGCGCCTCCAGTTCAAGGCCATGCACAGCCTGCGGGGAGAGAAGGCCTCTGTAAGGCCCATGGTCAGAACCAGGGCGCATCAGGGAGACACAGAAGAATGAATGAGAATGAGTAAGGAGGACACAGAAAGAGCAACAGCAGACATCCCCTGGGGGTGGGGGCAGGACACAGAGGCCCGGATGCCACCAAGACGCCACCCAGCTCCTCTGCCAGTGACCCCACAGCCCATCACCGCCCTGAGCACCGGCACCCCGAATTCCCTCACTGTATGACGGTACTGTGTGCACCCGGAGGGGGCTCCGCAGCTGATAGGGAGAGCGAACAGCCCTGAGGTCAGTGTGTCACTCATGTGGCCTGCACCTGACCAGGCCCCCTGACCCCTGGCATCCACCTGTGTCTCCTCCACCCGCCCTGCTGATGGCCCCCCACACAGAACGTGGAAACAGACAAGGCAGAGAGAGAAGATGGCAGCGTCCGCCCCCCCCCCACCTGGATGCCCGCTGTGCCCTGTGGGGATAACAGAGACCATGCTGCAAGCCTGTGCGGGCCCTGCCGGGTCACCTGACTCTGCTGCAGGCCAGCCTCCTCTTCACGGCTGCTCTGCAGGTCAGCAATGGCAAGTTCACATTCTTGTTTACACTCCTGGGGAAGAAAGGCAAAGAATGTGGTCCAGCATTCACATGAGAAAACAGTCACTAAGAAGCCACCGTGATGTGCCCGAGAGCGGACAACGCACGCCCTCACAAAATCCCATTCACAGCTGTTCACAGCAGCATCACTCGCAATGGCCAGAAGGTGGGAGCAACCCAAATGCCTACTGAAGGATGAACGGCTGAACAAAACGTGGGCTGCCATTCAGCCACAAGAAGGAAGGAAGGCCCCAGCTCAGGCTGCAACACAGAGGAGCCCTGAGGACATGAGGCTGAGTGACAGAGCACACAGGGAAGGCCGCATGACGTTCCATTTACATCAAGTGTTCAGGATCCGCAAATGCGTAGACATGGAGTGGCCTGAGGCTGCGAGGAGCTGAGGGAGGACAGTGGGGGTGGCTGCCGCGAGCACTGGGCTTCCTTCTGGGCCGTGACAACGTCTGGAACCACTGGAGGTGGTGCTCACACAGTGAATGTACTGAATGCCACCGAGGTCTGTACTTTAAAATGGTGAATTTTATGTTTGCTAATTGTATCTTTTTTTAAAAAATGATGGAAAAACACTGAACCCGCTTAAATGACTTAGTGTAAAGTCAAAGTCCCAAAAACAGGCCAGGCACGGTGGCTCACACCTGAAATCCCAGCACTTTGGGAGGTCGACGCAAGCGGATCACCTGAGGTAGGAGTTCGAGACCAGGCTGGCCAACATGATGAAACCCCATCCATACTAAAAATACAAAAATTAGCCAGGCGTGGTGGTGGGCGCCTGTAGTCCCAGCTACTCGGGAGTCTGAGGCAGGAGGATCCCTTGAACCTGGAAGGCGGAGGTTGCAGTGAGCTGAGATCATGCCACTGCACTCCAGCCTGGGCAACAGAGCAAGACTCCATCTCAAAAATATAAATAAATAAAATAAAGTCCCAGAAACAGAAGCTATGAGCTCTCCCCACACCACAGCAGTACTACCATGGGAGGAACGCACAACCTGCTCTCAGGAAAAGGGGGAAATGACACTTGCAGAGAGAAAATGTGCGTAAAATGCCTGGATAAAACAGGTACCAATGAAAGGTAAACCAATCTAGAAACACAAACTTTAAAGATCCTTGTACGGCCACTAAATCAGCAAAAGTTGGTAAAAATGTTACGAATTCTCAATGCCATCATGGTCACAGGAAACAAATGCACCCAAACACTACCAACGTCAGAATCAGTTGCCTCAACTTTTTTCTCAGCAGCTGTTCTGGCAACACAGGTCGAGCCACAGAAAGCCTTTCCCTGTCTCAACCTTCTCACCTCTGGAAACCTTTTCAGCAGCAATAACCCAAAGGGAAGAGAAGAGCTGCAGGTGGCTCCTTGGCACAGATCCTGAGCCCACCGTCCACATGGCCCTCCCCGCAGGCTCCTGGCCCTCGACGGGCACCTGGGATGTCTCCCCTGCCTGTGGAAGCGACCGTTCTCTGGCTTCCTCCCCCATCAGCCAGGCGCCTCTCTGGGCTCCAGGTGACCCACCTGCTCACAGAGTACTTCAGACTAAAAAATGACACAAACTAAATTTTTCTGCCCCAGCTGGGGAACTGGCTAGGGGTGGAGAGACAGAGGTTTGACACAGTTGTGAAGGCTAGAAAGGCCCCCAGAGGAACTAAACAGAGAAGGTGGCACGGTGGGCTCCACAGGGGCTGCCTGCACGGGGACTCGTCCCCAGAGCAGGCACCACATGAGTGCAGCAACATCTCCCTTCAATGTCAGGAGCTCAGGCCGGGCGTGGTGGCTCACACCTTTCCAGCACTTTGGGAGGCCGAGGTGGGTGGATCACAAGGTCAGATCGAGACCATCCTGGCTAACATGGTGAAACCTCCTCTCTACTAAAAATACAAAAAAATTAGCTGGGTGTGGTGGCGGGTGCCTGTAGTTCCAGCTACTCGGGAGGTTGATGCAGGAGAATGGTGTGAAACCGGGAGGCGGACCTGGTGGAGCCTGCAGTGAGCCGAGATCGCACCACTGCACTCCAGCCTGGGCGACAGAGTAAGACTCAGTCTCAAAAAAAAAAAGTTGGAAAGAGCACAAATAGACAATCTAAGCTCACATCTCAAGGAAGCAGAAAAACAAGAGCAAACCAAACCCAAACCCAACAGAAGAAAACAAATAATCAGGATCAGAGCAGAATGAAATGAGATACGAAAAACACAAAAGATAGCCGGGAGCAGTGGCTCGCACCTATAACCCCAGCACTTCGGGAGGCTGAGGCAGGCAGATTACCTGAGGTTGGGAGTTCGAGACCATCCTGACCAACATAGAGAAACCCCGTCTCTACTAAAAATACAAAATTAGCCAGGCGTGGTGACGCATGACTGTAATCCCAGCTACTCAGGAGGATGAGGCAGGAAAATCACTTGAACTTGGGAGGCGGAGGTTGCAGTGAGCCGAGACCGCGCCATTGCACTCCGGCCTGGGCAACAAGAGTGAAACTCCTTTTTTTTTTTTTTTTTTTTTGAGATGGAGTCTCGCTCTGTTGCCCAGGCTGGAGTGCAGTGGCCGGATCTCAGCTCACTGCAAGCCCCGCCTCCCGGGTTCACGCCATTCTCCTGTCTCAGCCTCCCGAGTAGCTGGGAGTACAGGCGCCCGCCACCACGCCTGGCTAATTTTTTTTGTATTTTAGTAGAGACGGGGTTTCACCGTGTTAGCCAGGATGGTCTCGATCTCCTGAACTCGTGATCCGCCCGTCTCAGCCTCCCAAAGTGCTGGGATTACAGGCTTGAGCCACCGCGCCCAGCCCGAAACTCCATCTTAAAAAGATAATGGAACAAAAAGCTGGTCCTTTGAAAAGATAAACAAAACCGATAGATCACTAGTGAGATTAACCAGGAAAGGAAGAGAGAAGATCCAAAGAAGCTCAACTAGAAACTAAATGGGAGACATTACAACCAATACCACAGAAATACCAAAGATCATTCAAGGCTACTATGAACACCTTTATGTGCACGAACTAGAAAACCTGGAGGCAATGGATAAATTCCTGGAAATATACATCCCTTTGAGATTAGACCAGGAAAAAACAGAAACTCTGAACAGACCAGTAACAAGTAGCAAGACTGAAACAGGAATTTGAAAACTGCCAACAAAAAAATGTCCAGGACCTGAGGGATTCACAGCTGAATTCTATCAGACGTTCAAAGAAGAATTGGTACTAATCCTACTGAAACTATTTCAAAAGATAGAGAAAGAAAGAATCCTTCCCAAATCATTCCATGAAGTCAGCATCACCCTAATACCAAAACCAGGAAAGGACGTAACAAAAAAAGAAAACACAGACCAATATCCCTGATGAACACAGATGCAAAAATCTCCAACAAAATACTAGCTAACCGAATCCAACAACATACCAAAAAGATAATACAGCTGGGTTTCATACCAGGGATGCAGGGTTTAACACACACAAGTCAACAAATGTGATACACCACATAAACAGCATTAAAAAGAAAAATCATGTGATCGTCTCGGTAAGATGCAGAAACATTCGACAAAATCCAGGATCGCTTTACGATTAAAACCCTCAGCATAATCGGCATAGAAGGGACACTGTCATTCATGACAAACCCACAGCCAACATTATACCGAAAAGGGAGAAGCTGAAGGCATTTTAGAACTGGAAAAAGACAAGGATGCTCACTTTCACCACTGCTCTGGAGTCCCAGCCACAGAAATTAGACAAGAGAAGAAACAGAGGGCATCCACGTTGGTAAAGAGGAAAAACAGTCACTGTCTGCCGATGATAGGATCGTTTACCTAGAAAACCCTGGAGACTCATCCAAAAAGCTCCTACATCTGATAAATGAATTCAGTACAGTTTCAGGATGCAAAATCAACGTACACAAATCAGCAGCACTGCTGTACTCCAACAGGGACCAAGATGAGAACCAAATGAAGAACGCAACACCTTTTACCACAGCTGCAAAAAATAAAATAAAATACTTAGGAATATACCCAACCAAGGAGGAGAAAAACCTCTACAAGGGAAACCATAAAACACTGCTGAAAGAAATCACTGGCCGGGCGCGGTGGCTCACACCTGTAATTCCAGCACTTTGGGAGGCTGAGGCGGGCAGATCACAAGGTCAAGAGATTGAGACCATCCTGGCCAACACAGTGAAACCCCATCTCTACTAAAAATAAAAAAATTAGTTGGGCATGGTGGCGCGTGTCTGTATTCCCAGCTACTCTGGAGGCTGAGGAAGGAGAATCACTTGAACCCAGAAGGCGGAGGTTGCAGTGAGCCGAGATCGTGCCATTGCACTCCAGCCTGGGTGATAAGAGCGAACCTCCATCTCAAAAAAGAAGAAAGAATTGATGACACAAACAAATAAAAAACACATCCAGGCTGGCGTGGATGCAGTGAAAATGGAAAACTTTTACACTGCTAGTGGGAATGTAAACTAGTACAACCACTATAAAAAACAGTATGGAGGCCAGGCACAGTGGCTCACGCCTGTAAACACAGTATGTTGGGAGGCCGAGGTGGGCGGACCACCTGAGGTCAGGAGTTCGAGACCAGCCTGGCCAACATGGTGAAACCCTATCTCTACTAAAAATACAAAAATTAGCCAGACACAGAGGTGCACGCCTATAATCCCAGCTACTTAGGAGGCTGAGGCAGGAGAATCACTTAAGCCTAGAAGGCAGAGGTTGCAGTGATCCAAAATTGCACCATTGCACTCCAGCCTGGCCAACAAGGCAAAACCCCATCTCTACTAAAAATTAAAAAATCAGTCGGGCATGGTGGTGCATGCCAGTAATCCCAGCTCCTCAGGAGGCTGAGGCATGAGAATCACTTGAACCTGGGAGGCAGAGGTTGCAATGAGCTGAATTCCCACCACCACACACCAGCCTGGGCAACAGAGTGAGACTCCATCTCAAAAAAAATCAAAAAGCATCTAAAGCGGGAGCATCACTTGAGGCCAGAAGTTTGAGACCAGCCTGGTGAATGTAAAGAGACTCCATC